ACTTTTTGTGACTTCGTATGAATTTAATCACCAGTAATCAATTTTAAAAAAATCACTGAAAATTAATGAAAATTATCGGAAAACGAAGCAAACTTATTTGTATGCATCGAAGTCAGAAAAAATTTTCTTAACATTATTAAAACAACTTAAATTTATCGACATTCATAGAAAATCGTTTATTTGAGTTATTGAAGAAAATAGAAAAAAAAGCGATATTGTTTGGCATTTAGTTTTAACTCTAACATTAAAATTAAGGTTGAATATACCAACCGAAATGTTCACCTGCCTATAAAGAAAACGGTTATTTCGACTCGAAAACTAATTGACTTTACCTGATTAAGGATATAGAAAAGTCATTCATGTTAGCTATTATGAGGATGCATGATTGAAATAATGATAAAAAGAACATCTTTTTTAGCGACTTCTATATAAATGCTAAGTCATTTATAACAAAAACTAACGAGGAAAGGTCAACAACTGTTCAATCGTTTTTGCGTTGAAACTACTTGCATTATGTATCTTCAAAAGAGTTATGAATATGCTGAGAAAATGTTGAGCAGCTAATGTATTGTTACGAAAATAGTCCATTTATAAGGTATTCTTATGATTGCCGTGGTCACCGTCAAGAACATTAGAAAAATCGATTTTTGACTTGAAACTTTACATAGAAATACGCCTCAACGAGAATAGTATTTTGTGAAAGTTTTAGACCTTCTGATTTGTTTATTTCATCAAATCTACTGTTTTATTTGAACGATGTAAAATGCACATTTTCACAATAGCTGTGTCGTGATAAGAACACTCGAAAGATCTGAAACGTTCACAAAAGTTTGATCTTCTCGGGGTGTGTTTCGATGTAAAGTTTCAAGTTGAAATTCAAAAATCAATTTTTCTAATATTTCTGAGAGGGACCATGGCCCTCAATAAAAACCATACCTTACAAATGGAGCATTTTTGTAACAATAAGTTAGTTGTCCAAAATTTTTTCAGAAATATTCATCTCTCTTTTGGAACTACACAATGCAAATAGTTTCGACCCGAAAACGATTGAACAGTTGGTAGCCTTTCCTCTTCAGAGGAAAAAAAGTTTTCTGCTAAGTTTCTTATTTAAATTCTCAGTGAAAAAGTTTGATTTTCTAAGGTAAAATATTGTAAATCAATAGATGAATAAACAATTTTTGTTAAGTAAAGAGATATAAGTATCGAAGTAAAATAGTTAATTGTGCACTTATTGTATTAATAAAGCTTTTGTTTTGCTTTTCGTGGTCGTCCTCGTTTCCTGTTGTTTTTTCACTTAGGAGCCATTTCACTTAAGCCACGATCTATCGTGCTCAATGGATTTTTTCAAATTATGATTTCACATACATGTTTCAAAAATGCATCAATTAGTGAGTTTTTTGTGACCAACCGCACCTTGATAGCTCAAATCGTCACTGAGGGTGTGGATGGGTGTGGGATGTGGGATATGACTGAAAAGAAAATCAACACCCACGCCCACACCCTTGAGTGAGATCATAAGAGCACTACCATTTAATATATATATGTATATGAAAGAAAAGAAAAAACAAAATATTTATGATCTAGTGCAACGTCTTTGATCTTTGTGACTAATATTGATTTGAATTTGACTGACTCAATAATTGGTGCTTCATCATCTACCCATTCCAGCCTAGTCCGCAATAATGACAATAAAATAAAAGACAAATGCATTATATAAATGACGTGAATAAGTTCATCTCACTGATCTGTTTTCATTTTTAGTAATTCAGTATTTTCACATTACACAGTTAGTGGTTTACGTCATCGTTCGTTCACGTATTCTATAAACTTGGACAACATATCTTCTATGTGTGAAGATCAAACTGCACGTAATTTGAACTATGATTACATGGACGAGGAGCTCATCGACGAAGAACTCAAATGTCCATTATGCTTGCTTCCTTTCACGGATCCAGCATCAACACCATGCCGACACACCTTTTGCAACTTCTGCATCGAACAATGGCTAAACAATAATTCATCTTGTGCAATTTGTCGAAGTGAACTTTTCAAAGATGATCTGACGCCAATAATTGCATTGTTTGTGACAAATATACTTGATCGTCTTCAAGTCAAATGCACAGCTTGTGGCAAAACGGAACTGCAGCGAGGTGATTTTAAGAATCACGCTAAGAAAGAATGCCCCAAGACGATCGTGTATTGTTTGGCCTCTACCATGGCTTGTTCATGGACTGGATCGCGTGATCAGCTCGATAATCATATGGCTACGTGTAGTTTTGAGCGATCACGAAAGGCGACTGTTGAACATTTGGGTATCGTGAAATCTTGTTTGGAGAAGATATAGTACGAAATAAAGATCAGACAACTGACTGAGTAACTTCGACTGACCACTAATAAACTGAATGGGACAAATTAAAAATCATTTATATATTCTAGTTGGAACTTTTTTGTGATAAATGTTCATTTTTTTGTGACTTTCGTGTGATCTATATTTATTAAACATGAAAACAAGTATGATAAAACAATTGATACAGCCAAATCATTTACATTTCACTGATGCTTACCTTGCACGTATTCATTCTATCATCAGAAATATACAAGAAAGAATTCAGCGAATCGATGAAACGTTACTGATAACATTAGATAAGCACCAGCTCTGTTAATTTTGTACGCAATCCTATTTATAAAATACTGATTGCATTGTATTATTTATCGAATTCGATAATTGAAAATGAAAAAAGCAATTGAAACTCAATAGAACATTGAGATAATGCGAGACATGTCGAACGAATTCCAATCATTTTGACTTATGTGATTAATTGATTTTTGTTCCCTTTTTTTAAATTTGATCTACAAATACAATTTTCATTGATTTCTCATCATATGATTTCGTTTTGAACTTTTCCAAAAATCACTGATGCTATCGTCTTTTTCTATCAAAAATTTTGATGAAAAAAATCAGATTATTAATATTTCTTGTGTTCATTTTTATGACTCAATCGATTTCTATGCATAATTTCTAATTCCAGGAATTATTTACAATTAAAAGAGGGTGTGGTATGAATATGTCAAAAAACAAGAGACGAAAATTTCATATTTTACGGTACTTCAGCATACTTCATATAAGTCTTTCTGGGAATACAGTTCAATTACTTTATCATACTTTAAGATTTTCATATCATGGAAGTATAGAGTTTTCGCTATGCTCCTTTTGCGATGTGAGGTTGTGTAGCTGTCGGTGTGAGCATGTATTTGAATACGAAACTTTTCTTTCCTTCATCCTACACTCAGACTTCAAGAATTGATGTAGTTAATAATCAATGTTCAATGTGTCGCAATGTTCTGTAGAAACTAGAAGATACAGGAAAATTATACGAAATTCTATATGACATTTGAAGTGTTGAGAAGCGTTATTTTTATTTCTCTACGGAAATATTGTTTTCTTCACGAAAACCTTCGGTACATAATCAGAAGTAGAAATTGTTTATTTATCCAAAGAATGGAACAACTCATTGACAATAAAGGAAGAAGAAGAACATCTGAAAAGTGAAACAATATATCGAGTTTAGGTTTTATATCATATTAAATTGACAGCAATAAAACATTTCATTACTTATGCGTAAAAAAACATGAAAAACAAAGACATTTCGTAGATGATGAAATGGTCATTCATTTTTATTTCATTGATTAAAACAAATATTTTAATGAAGTAAAATATATAAAAGTTAATGTTCATTTTATCATTCGAGGTGTCTTGTCGATTTGTTTTAGTCCCTAGGATGGAATGAGGGAAAGCTCATGAATTTGGAGTGAAACCTACACTGACAATTTTTATGATAAGTTTCATAAAAAAAAAATAAAATAAAATTTGAGTTTTATCCAAAAAAATCCTTTGAAAATTAGACACGTTCAATTGTTCACAATATAGTAATTATTTTTCAATTTCTCCTATTTACAGACCAAATCAAACGTCATTATATATTCTTATAGAGATTTTCGAGGGGCACAATGTAATAATAAATATAAGAAAACTGTTCTAGAGGATTTAAAGAAAATTTAAAAATATAACATTTATTAGTCTCTTCTGATTCACTTGATATGTTGAATTGTTTCCAGTAGAATAGTCATATTCCCTCCATCGATTACTTTAAAAAGAGCTAGCTAAAACTTACTTATGTTTCATTCATTGTCGCATCGAGTCACTGCTACTTCTCCACAAAGAAAGAAAGATGTCGGTGAACAAACGATAATAGATACCGAGAAATAGTAGCAAAAAAAAATATTAGATAAGAGAAATGAATAGTATGCACATATGCTCTCACATTCAACATCAGCTTTCGTCTACAATCATGGAATTTGATACTAACTGATGTTGCAGTTCCTTCATTGAAATTTTCACGTCTATTAGAAGAAAGTCCTTTAATATGCACTTTATCGACATCAGTTCGATGTACAAAGAGGTACTGAATACAAGAAGGAAAAAAAAACACTTCGGAAGTAATTATGAGTAGTTTTTTTTTTAAATTTTTTTCATTAAAATCTGTTCGATAATCTCAGCAAGTGTCAATCGTTGACCATCGTATAGACATTTGTATTTCTTGGTAAAATTCATGAAAAAGTTGATGAGCAATTCTATTGACATCGTGATACACTCATCATTGGACAAAATTTTTATAATATTGTTCGATTTTCAATTTGACACTAGATTATTGGAATCGATATTAGTCGTAGTGATAGTCCAAATAGATAGGAAATATGTGCATGTGTGTGTATTTGTTTCATCAAAATCTATACACGCATCTACTCTCTCACTATCTAATTTCATTATGAGTTATTTTAATTAGTGTCGAATTGATAGATTTGGTTAGTTTTTATTCTAGTTACGTACATAAAATGAAAACTAAAGAGACTTGTTAAATGAAGCAATTTTTATTGTTAAATTTAAAAAATATCTCCTTGTTTTCAGAGTAAAATGTACGTTCACTTCTTAATAAAAGTATTTATGATTTGTTTTCAATATTGGACTTGAATTTTGATATTAATTTTTTTGAATCACCTGTTATGTATAAACGATCTTTCCAATCAATAAGAGCAACCGATGGTGCTTGATATTCCAAATGATTTATTAAACCATGTTTATCATTAGTAAAAACAATAACTGCTATATGTCTTAAATTACTCTTATTCAATAGTAATAATAAATCGAATGGATTTTTATTTTTCATGTTTATAATAACCACGACAAACTATTTGAAATGTTGTCGAAGGTGATTTTATTTTATTTTGAATTTGTCTTATATGATTTTGTGCCATTGCGAATGTTTCACGAAAATCTATATGAATTTTTTCATCGCCTGTTAATTAATTTTCAACATCAAAATTACCTTCAGTTTTTTTTATCAATATAAAGTATATACGATTTTGATGAGTTATTTCCTTGCGATACCCTTTGAATATAAGGACAAGATTTTGTTTTGATGATGCTGCATTATTATGATTGTTTTTAATATGTGTTTCTGGATATTTTATTGTTGCATTAACAATACAATCTGATCGTTCTGTTTTCCAAAAGTTATTATCCTTGTAAAAGCCTTCATCATCATCATCCACAGAGCTTTTGGGAAATGTAGGATGGCCTTTTGCATTACCTTGAAGATTATTTTGGATGTTTGTACCTTGAATTTTTTAGTTCTCTACGACGACGAGCACATTCTGAAATAGTTTTTATTGTGTGTAAATCTGAACAATATTTTTGATCACTCATATATTTATAAGGAACATAACATTATTCTTTATCACCCTAAAAATAAATCAACTTATTATTCATGTACAAAAGAAAAAGAATGTCAACGAAATAAAGAAATTTTTACAAGATTATTATAAGTTATCAATATAGTTTCTAAGAGAGAACGGAGAGTAGTTTAATAAAGATATTTTGATCATTTCATGCAGACAGAGCCTGAAAAGTTGTTTTGTCTCTGACAATTAATAAGTTATGATACATTTCAATCTGATATGTCGGATGCATCACTTAGAGAAGCCTTTTCAATCATACAAATTGATTGCTTTTTGAAAATGTACTTCATCAAATTCTCAACTAGATAACATGTGTTATTTGTTTGAATAACTTTATTTTCTTTAAAAAAAAAAGTAATAAATACTTTTGAAAATTTGGAAATTTCTAATATTAGGGTGTGGGTGTGGTTTTGAGTGTTCACTTAAACGAGGCCCATATCCACACCCACACCCAAGATTGGACAATATGTTACGTTCTGATCTGGGTTTTTTCTTATGCTGATTGTACTCAGAATGTTTTTGCATCGTTGAATAGTTATTGTTGTTGTCGATGTCTGTTATAAAAATGCCTACAGACCATCAATTGTCTCAAGAATTAAAACAGATATTTTTCAATGTCATCAAGTTTGTCGAAAAAGAGAAGAGTAGACCGATAATTCCACTTTTCAATGTAAATGAACGACTTTCATCCATGTTTGATATCTTGAAGAGGGCTATGGAAAGATTGAAGAACGAAATCAGAGAGATCGAACGTGAAATGATGAAAACAAGAAGAAAAATTGACGAGGAGAAACAGCAAAAGGAGAGTGTGGGCGTATGTGGCACGTGGGATGTGATGTGTGTCTAGAAGAGAAGACTCACATCCACACCCGCACTCTATCTATTATTTGGTTTATTCGATCATAGTACTCCTGCTCTCTGTGTTCACAACTTTAGATTTTCAATACCTATAATTTCTTTCTTTATGCTTCTATGCGTGCATCTATGACACATGCCTGAAGGTATGATTGACATTGCTGTTTATCGATTCTTATTTCTATTTCTCTAGTTTCAGTTTTTTTTCTATTATCTTATTCTCTTGTGAACCATAACATGCGGTAATAAACAAATTATTTATATAAAGAAAAAAATTATGAAATAGCATGCCGGTAATATTATTATTTTGTCGAGTGAAAATTTCTCATAGTATACAGTAGAAGAATTACATAGTTCTACTGTACCATAGCAAACACTATAGCAAAGAGTAACAACTTAACGTTATCAATGTGTTCAAACGAGATTATTAACTGCATTCGCCTATTTGTTGATAAAGAAATAAATCAAGTTCTTGTTTATTGTATTCAAAAAGAAAAAAAATTAATTATTCTGCAGATGAGTCCTTCAGATAATTCAATTCACATTGTCAGGTGAGATTAGATCGATAAAATCCATTCGATTAACCAAATACATGTCGATTCTTAAGATTCTCATGTACGTCGAGTATTCGATACGCCAAGTTGTTCACTGCTGGATTTCGTAATAGTTGATTGTGATCATTGTCACTACTTGTTGATGAACTAGAATAATTAATTTGAATAAATCTCATGTCAAATATATTTTGTCTGAAAGAAAAAACTTCACCCATCATCATTGTAGACTAGATCTCGTGCTTTCAATGCTGCAAGATCAGCCTGATGTATTAACGATGGAATAGCTTCGGCAGTCGATGATCGTTGATCGGTGAAACAGAGATAGTAAGTCAACAATTGGAGTTCATCAGTTGTAAATTCTATTTCATCCAGAAGAACATGATAGAGCGATGGACGATTGACACCTTGTAAAGCTTTATGTGAATTCAAATAGAAATTGTATTGATAAGGATGAACTATTTTTGTGTCAATCACTGTGCCGATGAGCATATTAATTTTTGTATTTTCAACTTGATCGTGTTTAAAAAAGCGGGTATTATGTCGTTTTTTGACAACAATAAAAGTCAAAAGAGGATGATTTGACTTTTCACCATACATTCCTACAAAAAAGAATCGATTCTTTTTTTCATTTCGTTCCGGTGAAGAACTTACTATCAAAAGCTTTGCGAATAGCCGGAATTTCTTCAGCAATAATCTTGCTAAACTGACCATCGTCAATTCCTAAACAAAGTAAATTTTTCATGATATGTAAATTTGATTAGGAGATACTAACCATCCCGATAGAAGATTACCTTTGTTGGCAATCGTTTATTGACCTCTTGATTATACTTTAATAGTTGTACAACCATTTCTTCCATGCCAATGATAATTTCTAAAGAACATTTGCCTTGTTTCGGATACTGCTGACAAATGCGTGTAGCCGTCATTGAACACTGTGAATTACCAGAGGCGACAACAGCTAAAAGAAATCAATTTTCAGGTGATCATTATATTCTTTGATAATCAATAATTTACCAGCAATTGAGGGATGTTGTTGTGTTACACTGGTCGGATGAAGAACATCGGCACCAAAAAACATGAATGAATCTTGTTGAAATTTTTTCATTCCCAAAATCGTGTTCAAATTGATCTCGAAATTGATGCCGCCGTTTTTATAATTAATTTTCTGAATTATAGTTTTACAATAACTTCGAAGCAAACGATCTTTGATGATTTTTGAGAAAAGACAACCTTGAGTCATTACACCTAGAAAACAAGAAATGTATGTAAATCTCAATTGAAATAAATGATTTCAAGTTACCGTATTTAATTGTAGCACAACTCTTAATCCATGCTTGAAGTTGAATAAGCTTTTCATCGCATCGTTCGTCCATGACACAGATGACAAGTTGACAGTTTCGATCAATCATTTTAGAAAAAAATAAATCGATTGAATTGAAATCCGGTTGTACGATGTCTAATTCAAGAGAATTCACGTTTCCTATATTGATTTTGTTATTTTTTATTTCCTGATACAAGAATTGATTTCTCTTTAGCATTATTTCAAATTGGTAAGACTTACTTGGAGTAGCGTCCGACGAAATGTTTCCATGGGCTGCTTTTGCGTTTCGTTTTTGGTACCGAAATACACAATAGCCAGGGTTGTAATTGGCTTTGGTTTTAACACATATCCATTAGGACCGGTTTGAACTTTCGGTTGTTCGAGAACTCGTGCGTCAAGCGTCAACATTTTCGGTCCGTTAAGAATGTGAAAACCGACTTCACGACAAAGAGGATTAACATCCGGATTGTAAGTACATTTTTTGAGGACATTTATGATTGCGCAATATCGTTGTTCAGGAGAGAAAATGTTCTTGCGATTCTGTTGGGCTTCGGATATCTGTTAGTAGAAAGCGAAGAAACATAGGATGATCATTATTAAGTATAGAAGAAGAAAAGAAAACAACAAGAAAGTTTTTTTCCTTCAACAAACTCACCGGTTGATTATAAACTTGCCACGCTTTAATTTTACATACTTCTATTGGCAAATGACACTGTTTTCGAGTATCATTAGGAAAATATACTTCCAAACATCGATATCGAGTATGACGAAGTTGAATATTTTTGACATTTTCGTAATATTTGATCAATGAATCACCGGTGTCGATTTTAATATCGTGAGGTTGTCGTCGATCAAATCGATTAATTACATAGGCTTGTGTCCAGTTCGATTGTTGGGTAACCACATGACAACCTTTCAAGATTTGACTCAAATTCTTGTAGTCCTGTTCAGATGGTATCCGATTTTGACCGATTTTTTGAATGATGAAGTCGAGTAAAAGAATTTCTGGATAAAACGTTGTTGATTTTGTTTGAACGTTGAGTGTTAAAAGATTGGAAGAGAGATGAAGTGCTTGAATAAAGCCCTGTCGTTGCATGAATCCGTCGGATAATTGCAACAATGGTTCCTTGTGAAAGTAGCAAATGTTGTTGACAACTTGGATATTATTTTGAATAGACTTTTTTAAAAGGGTTTCGAGAATGCGCATAGTATCATAGGGATATACATGCGTTCGGCCATCAATATAATTTTGAATATCATTCGTAGTCCATCGATTAGTCAATGAATTGATTTTGAGTCGAGTACAACCGTCGTCGCTGACGATAGTTTCCGGTGTTGGTATACACGAAGTGCTATATAGACATTTCTGTTCATCGTACCACACGACGACATTTGAATTGAATGTAAGAAATCGCATGATGGTAGCACAGCGAGCACGACTTTTAACTTGGAGCCAATCGCCCGAGCGAGAATTCATTTCTTCGATAGACACGTCATATTGATAGAGATCGTGATCAGGACCGAATGAACAAGGAAAGTGGTTCGTATAGAGAAGCTCTGAAGAACCAAATAAGCCAGCCGATTGAGGACGTTGAGGGAGTAAAGAATTTATGCAAATTTCTGACGAACAGATTGATGTAGCAGGCATCTCTAAGCTGAGAGCGGTATTTTGCATATCCGTTGTTGTAACCATTGAAATGTTGATGGATAATGTTGAATCTAAAAATAGGACCAATGAAATGTACAAGTTTTCTTCAGAAACTATTATGAATAATATTCAAAATATTCTAAATGTATATTAACGTTATATAGATCTTGTCAGTTGCTCTATTCTTACACAACTCGCTGTTTATATCTACACAATGGTAAATTTCATCACGGGTTTTTATCTTTGACTCGTTGAAAATTAGTCATTCAGTGGGTATTTTCACAGTTGACATACTGAAATTTCATTATTTCCCGTAGTGGGAAATCTTAAGAGAAAATTTTTGTGGAAAGTCGACGATGACCGTAAAAAATACACTTTGTAAGATTCTGTTTAATTTCGATAGATTAGTGTGCAATCTAATGAGTTACTGAAAATGCAAGAAGACGGACTATGTTATCTCTTTCAAACGAGTCTTGGAACAGGTTTAACAGACATATTACTCAGTGAGGAAAAATTATTTCTCTATGCGAACAGACGTTTCAAAACCTGTATTATTTCATCTTTTTCAAAAATTGTCGATAAGGTTTTGTTCATCAACTATGGATGTGGGGTGTGGATACGGGCGTGGGTATGAGATTTGAGAGTGATCTTGATAGATCCACACCCACATTTACCCCAAAATAAAGAGAAATTCATACTTTTCGAGAGAGTAAATAAAGAATTTGATTTGCCTAACGTTATAATGCGTGAAGATGATCATTCAGATTATATCTTAAACTATAGATTTAAGGTTCCTCTATCCAGAGTTATATATCAAAACCAAAATTTTATCGCAACGACAGACTGTTTTCATGCATTTTTTGCAATGTTTTGCAGAAATGATTGATTTTAAAATGATTCCCCGTCTTATACAATATTGGAGAAAAAGATGTCCTAGTGTCGCCACTTTCGACTGACGAAAACCGCAGCTCTCTAGCCCTTTGCCTTTTTGAGTTATTGCAAAAATGACGACGGTCATCATTTTTTTTTGCAGACAATAATTGGAATGCACAGATTCAGAATGATCTAAGCATTGATATCATTTACGTGCTATTTCTAGTCACTAGGAAAACGTATTCAATAATATTTGGCTTCCCTCTTTCTCGGTTGCTACAGCATGGAAAGTTGCTATGGAAATGCATGCCAGAGACCGAAAACGAACCGAACTCGAACCAGTAAAATTCGGTTCGTTTCGGTCTTTGATGTATGCAACACTATTTGGCTTCCAGCAATATGATTGCTAGGGCTTTGGAGAGAGGGACGCCGCAAAACCTCAACTCAAACTTACACGCACTATTTTCTTCGAAAATATACGTGAGTTTCACAAAATTGTGCGAGATGGAACCATTCTAAACCCTTGGAACCATTTTTTACTTGCGATGTTGTTTTAGATAATCTAGAACCTTTGATGGTTTATTGATAACCAAATGAAATCTTTAAAAGTTCAGAGTCTTCGCTAAAACCCTCAATGGTTTCTTATCCGATCTTTTTTTTAAGAGGGCACACCCCGACACCGACATCCACACCTCACACCGAAACTAATACGCCACGCCCACACTCACACCCTTCCTGTCACATATCCTAAATTCTATCCTCAGGCAGTCTCAGTCCAACCTAAGAGCTGTTACAAAACCTGAAACAGTTACTGTATTTGATGATCACGAATGGTATATGTCTTTAGTCAAAATCAGTTAATAACTGACCTATCTTATCAGTTTCGAGAAGTGGTTATTGATACATAGTATAGATTCAGGTCAATAGCTGATAGAGGTCTTTAAGCAGTTATTTGATTAGAACCAGTAGAACAAGAAAACTTATTCTAAATTATGTGAATATTTCATGTTATCGCCTGATACTTATCTTATTGAATCCGACAGACGGTATATTTACAACCAAATTGGACAGAATGTTGTGTGATGATACTAATTTTATTTCTCTATTCGTCAAACTTTATTCTGTGCATTGCTATAATGCACATTAAAATGCAATCTAGCAATTGAGTTCAAAATGATTTTCATTGAGAAATTAGTTTTATATGTTTCGACTGAATCGATAATTAGTCGACGAGGAATTTAATATAATTACTATTTCATATTTATATTGCATCAATTTCCAGGACATATAAGTGATATTACTTTGAATCCACCAACATATCTTTATAGTCAAAAAATTGTACCATTCTGATTGGACCATCAACCTATCGGTTTTGAAATAGTATGATATATTTAAACGCAAGCTACAACACTTGGAATTTTCGATACTAAGTTGCCGATATTGATATTTTCATTCATTAATATTAGCAAATATTTCGGTCCAGCCTCAAGTAGAATCTGATAATAGTCGGCAACATTTGCCTTCCATTGTGAGGGCTTCTAACTTTATACCACAACTGGATGAAAGGCTTCAACCTTAATTTAATTATCCGAAACTATATACAATCTGTACTCAATTTCATGCAAAAACGAAGTGATAATTTGAATGACCGCTTTTCTGCGTTTAAATCCACCGATTCATGTATTATTATTATTGGAAATTATTATGCAACTCATGGAGACATATGTTATGCAAAACCATCATTAAATTCATATTCAAATGTATTTAATAAAGGTCACCTGACATCTACCTCATTCAAATCAATAGCCAGCGAGCGATGAACAATAGCAAAAATATTCAATCTCCTTTAGTTTATGTTTATTTTACGTTTTTTTTATTTGTTATTTTTTCTCTTTCATTTATATATTGTTGTTCTGTTTTGCCTTTTGTGCTTAATTGTTGTATGCAAAGCCCTGATGAGTGTTTATATTCAAATAAATAACACGAAACGTGTCGGCAACATTAACTCTCCATTGTTTTATGCCTTATTTTACAAGCACATTACTTTAAAGTACCATTTGAAATTTGACTTGCTCGATTGCTGAAAAGCAAACGTTGGGAGAAGCAGATTGATTTGTAACTTAGATAGGCAGGTCAGGTTGGTTTTTGATTGAGTTACTGATATAAGTAATCGTGAGTTTCATTGTACATCATAGTGTAAAGTGAACGTGCTAGAAGCGAATTTTGATGGAAATGATGATGGCTATCCTATCTTCAGTAGTTCAGCAAAACATCGTGAATTACAATATTGTATTATGATAGGTGCAAATCAAAAAGATGAATCGATCAATGTGCTATTCGGATTGAAAAAGCAAGGCTATCAGAGAATGCTAGAACAGAATTTACTGCATAAATATTGATAAGGATTTTTGCAGACTGATCGCTAGTTTGCTGTATCAATTGTTTAACTTTTATTCAGTTGTACTGAAACTTAGGATTTTATCATAAATAATCACAACCATGCATCCAAGCAAAGCGAAATGAAAAATGTTTTGATTTTGCTCTTACGCCTGACTATGTTTTCAAGTTCTGAAAAGTTTTCCCTTGAAAATGAAATTTAACTGATGTCAAAAATAAGGATCAATCCCTTTCTCCTTATAACATCCAACTAATTGATTGTTCGATTACCGTCACATTTGTTGCCAAAAACAAACCATGCAATGTCAATATATTCTAAGCAGAAAGAGAACTGTCCTTTCTTTCATTCTCGTTTATTGATACATGGAAATTAAAAAAATTATTTCACGAAATTCTTCCTGGTACATCTACACACAGTTCAAAATCGATATGTGTATATGGGGAAGAAATAGGAAGATGATGCTTTTTGTTCATCTGTCGGTTTCTTCGGTGCTGAAAATTTAGTTGCATCGTTAGGCAACAAAATACCACATTGATAACAAAAGCATCGTTGATGAGGTGCATCATTGACAATATGACCGTATTTTCCCGTGAAAACATCCACCAAAAATTTTGGTTTGTGAACTTTGAGACCAGTTGCCACGACGTCTAGAAAATTGTTTTGACGATGGCAGTTAGGACAATGCTCACATTTTGTTTTGATCATATACGGAGTTGAGAAAAATCCTTTTGGTGTTTCAAGTAATTCTTCGATTTTATTCATATCTTCGGTCGATGTTTCAACCATGATATAGCCATCATTAGAATTAGTCAGAAATTCTTTGACATGTTCATGCCATTGGTTTTCCGGTATCGCCTTTGGAAACATTTGTTTTGCAATGATATCAGCTGAGATCGCTGCGATATCAACAGCTTCTCTCAATACTTCAACAGCAGAAATGGCCATGATTTGATTTTGATTGACCGTTCGATGGAAATAACAATATTGTAATTTAGTTGAATATTCGTATAGAAGTATGAAAATGAAGAGTAAGAACAGTTCTTTATATAGTAATATTCATGTGAGATTTTTATAAACGAAAGGTTTTATCAGATGTTTCTAAAGCCTTACTAATCTTTTAGGAAGTACTCTGTTTCTCTAATGTGTCATATAAGTATACTTTTCTTCTTAGATAGAAATAAAAGTGCGCCATATGACTCAGTTTATCTTTCTTAGTTCCCCATGTTCTTTTTCGGGAAGAGAAAGAGTCTGCAATCGTTCTCACACTTCTCGCACCAAGCAAACAAAATAAAAATACAAATGCGTAACACAGCATTTGGTTGTTAGTAAGAATTGTATTCTCAATTCGTTTTCAACACTATTTTTATGTGCACTCGTTTCACATAGATTTTTGAACCATCTGTAATCTACCATGTGCATTCAGGTGGATACTAGGTGAAAAATTGAAAGCACACCTTTAAAAGATTCAAATAGTGGGCAGTATATTTCAGAATATGGGCTACTCAATAGTTAACAATTTTTTATTCACTCTATAGGCTACTGTTTGGCGGAAAATTTCTAGTGAAAATTGGTTGAAATCGAACTTCTTGACAAATAAGTACTTGTAAAAATAGTTTTATCATCGGAATTAATAAACACACTTTAAAAAGCCATATATATTCTGAAACTAGATGTTTTTTTCTATCGATTCATATAAAAAAGTTTTTTTCTGTATCTTCAAAGTTTGAAAGTTTTTTTTCTACACTAATGAAAGAACATATTTGAATGTATTCCCTGAGAACAAGTTTTTAATTATTCTATCATGTAGAAACTATGTTGAATATCTCGAATATCAACATTTTAGCTGCTGTCGTTTAGTTCTGAAAAAGGGAACAATCCAATTTTCTTGTTTTGCATCGCATCCGGTTTCTTGGCGTCTCATTTCATTTGTTCACTTTTGTAGGATTTGCAAGAGCCATGTTTTTTTTAGCAAAAAATGTATATAAAATAAATAATGTCCAAGTTCTTTTCCTGAAAAAATATGTTTCTTGCAAATTGTACAAAAGCGAACAAATGAAATGGGACGCCGAGCTTTTCAGATCTAAATGAGAGCAGCTAAAATATTGATATTCCAGATGTTCAACATAGTTCCTAAGCGATAGACTAACTTAAAACTCGTTCTCAAAAGATACACTGAAATATATTCC